CCCGTTACCTGTCCCAGCTTCTGCCAACCTAGCAGTTTGAAAGCATGTAAAATGCAAATAGAAAAAATAGGAACCACCTTTGGTGGGAAGGTAACAACGTTCCATGCACCTTCATTGTTTAGTCATGCTGGCCACATGACCATGGAGACATCTTCGAACAGCACTGGCACATATGTGCGAGGGGAACCTTTATCTTTATACTGACTTCTATTAAAGCAGACCAAATATTTAATTTATTCTGCTTCTGCCTCCAATGAAACAGAACATCACAAGAAGTCTGGACCATCCCAGCTTTGTTCCCTAGGAACTGATAGTCAAAGATTTGTTGTTCTCAAAACTAGGAAATATAAGTAGCAATAGCAATAGCACTTAGACTTATATACCACTTCACACTGCTTTTACTGCCCTCTCTAAGCAGTTTACTGAGTCCGCATATTGCCTCCAAAAATTTGGGCCCTCATTTTACCCACCTCAGAAGGATGGAAGGCTGAGTCAACCTTGAGCCTGGTGAGATTCGAACGGCGAAATTGCAGGCAGCCGACAGGCAGCAGAAGTAGCTTGCAGTACTGCATTTTAACCACTGCATCACTACATCTCTTTATAAATAGACTTATATGTCAATGATTGTGCTATTCTTTTATGTAGCTGATTTCCAAATTCCATCTAAAAGAATATCCAACACTGCATCTTCTAATAACAAATCACCTGATTGAAAGGTCTTGCTTTTCAACTTCCTTGATCTTAACTTATGGAAGGGAGTGTGCATGGTTGGTGATGATAGGAGGGGAGAGGGCTGAATTTCCTTCTTTCTGGTTTCCCCAGACCATAAACCACTATGTAACTCTTCACCTGAGGAAGAGATAACCATTAAAATCAGAGAAAACAGTAAGAGCTGCAGAAAGAGCTATCACAGCTACCACCAGAACTGTAGAAGAGCAGAGAAGGTGATATTGTCAAACTGTTGGGCAGCTGCGTAAAATTGAAATATGTCTTTTTCAAATATAATTGTCGCTGAGTTCTCCTCAGTAAGATCAATTGATGAGAACGGGATTGGGTTCCAAAACTTCCAGGAACTGAACTGTTCCCTGCTTAGAACCAATATATCTCCTTGTGCATTAGAGATTTTGCGATTTTCCTTCTAGCAGACTTCTATAATTTAGCAAGGAAGAAGTTCCCTTTAGTGGGAGAAACAAGCAAATGATTCTTTATAAGTAGATCCCCTGAATCAGTGGTGGGATCCTACCGGTTCGCAACAGTTCGCTGGTAGTTGAAATGGCGTCTGGGTCTCCATACCAATAGGGACGGCATGCTCGCCACACCCCCCGAACTGGTTTCTTAGTCACTGTGACATCTTTTTTTCACCTTTTTAAATATTCTGGGCATGCAGAGACCTATTTATAGACAACTGTGCGCACACACAAAGCATGCATCAATAGCAATAGCAGTTAGACTTATATACCGCTTCATAGGGCTTTCAGCCCTCTCTAAGCGGTTTACAGAGTCAGCATATTGCCCCCAACANCCACTGGTGGAACCTCTTCTAACCGGTTCGGTAGATTTGACGAACCGGTTCTACCGAATAGGTGCGAACTGGTAGGAACCCACCTCTGAACCAAACCAACAACTCTGGGCATTGCATTTTTGAAATGTGATTATATTGTATCTGTAATGCAGGACTGGGAACAATGGAAGGCACTAATGACAAATGATGATAAGAAGGTAAATAAATGGAACTAGTAGAGCATCTGAGAGAAAAAGAAGAAGTAAATTGTCAGGTCTAAAACCAAAACTGACACTTGGCAATTCTTCCAAGCTGAGTTCTTTATTGCTTCACATTTGCCAGACTGAGGAGTCTACTATCTGCATCTACCATAAACTCTATCAACCAATGGAACAGAAGTTGGCTTCGGAAGTTTTGGGAGCTTCATCACTGGAAGGTTTCAAGAAGAGTCTGGACTGCAATCTGTCAGAAATGGTGTAAGGTCCCCTGTTTGGGCAGGGGGTTGGACTAGAAGACCTACAAGGTCCCTTCCAACTCTGTTAATCTGTCTGTTAAACCCTCTTTCTCTCACACCTGCTATCTGAGCTGAGTTGCCTCTTATTCCTCTGGAATCCACCCCATCCTTCCTGGAGGGGATCCACCTCTCCGCTGCATTCCATCACATATATGGGTATTTATAGATTGCTGCTCTAATAGAACAGGGTAGGTAGTCCTCAACTTTTGATTATAAAATTTCTGTTGCTAAGAGAGATATTTGTTAAGTGAGTTTTGTCCGATTTTATGACTTTTGTTGCCAGTTGTAAAGCGAACCATTGCAGTTGTTAAGTTAATATCAGAGTTGTTAAGTGAATCTGGCTTCCCCACCCACTTTGCTTGACAGAAGGTTGCAAAAGGGAGCCACACAACCCCAAGACACTGCAACTGTCATATATACGAGCTACTGTAGTTACCAAGTTACTCAATTTTGATCATGGGACCATGGAGATGCTGCAATGGTCACGTATGAAAAATGGTCAAAAGTCACCTTTTTTCAGTGTTGTTGGAACTTTGAACAGTCACTAAATGAACTTTTGTAAGTCAAGGACTATCTGTATGGAAATAAGACATTAAGTCCAACAAAATATGCTGAAGACCACAAAACCTATTCAAGCAGTTCACCTGTATCTATTTTTTTTNTGGAAAATGTTCCTCCAGTCCTTCCTGTCCTCTACCATCCTCTGGAGTCCATTTAAGCTCACACCGACTGTTTCGGTGACTCCATCCAACGCTCTCATTCTCTGTCCTTCTTTTGCACTCAATCTTTCCCACTATTAGGCTCTTCTCCAGTGAATTCTTCCTTCTCATTAGGGGGCCAAAGTATTTAAGTTTCATCTTCAGGATCTGGCCTTCTAAAGAGCAGTCAGGGTTGATCTCCTCTAGGACTCATCGGTTTGATCGTCCTTCCTTCTCATTAGGTGGCCAAAGTATTTGATTGTTGCTATTACCTCTATTTTATTCTTCATGCTTTTAACCCTACAGGAATCCCGTGCTTCCTACTTTTATAATAAATGTCTGTAATGAAAGAATCAATTTTATATTTCAAGCTTGCTTTATAAGAAAGGTCTGAAGCTAGTATTGTGCAGAGACAACCTGATCTTGCCTTTGTATCTAACATTTCTGTCTGCCAAGAGGTGTGCCCTACCTGAGTGTGTGATTTTTTTTCAATGAGAAGAAAAGAACTTACAAAAATCGAAGTCTCAGCCTGAGAAGATCAGAACATCACTTCTAAAGATCAATAGGAATTTTGTATACAATTCCTGTTGTATACAATTCAGACTCGTTTTTCTTTTCCACTACTCACTGAAAGCTAGGATTGCATGATGTGTCTAAGTTAAAAGGAAATCCCTGGAGAATAAACCCTCCATGGTGTTTGTATAAATAATGAGAATGATATACAGTAGAAATAAGTGCTATGTAGATGCTTTCATAGGAACTTAGGGAAAATATCTTTTAATGGGGAAAAATTGTACACCAAATTGAAATATAATGATGTCTCATAGACAGAAGAGCATTTTACACCAGTGATTGTCTATTTCATCCAATAGAGTTCTGCCTACCATATTAATTGGAGAAGGCGGTGGTATTTGATAGTTGTTCCTTCCTGTCTAGTTATGAAGACCATTGAAAAAATTGTTATGAGGAATTCAAGCTGCATTAATAGAGGGATAGAATCAAGATCATTTGAAGTATTAGTACTGCTTTAGAAAACCTTAGTAAGGTCACACTTGGAATACTCCACTCAGTTTTGATCATCACAAAATACAAAAGAGGTTGAGCCATGAAAAGAGTGCGGAGAAGAACAGGAAGGAAGATTGGGGGATGGAGGCTAAAACTTATGGCAAACGGTTGCAGGAATTGGGTATCTCTAGTCCACTGAAAAGAAGGACTGGGGAGACATAATAGCAATGTTGCAATATTTGAGGGGCTACCACAGAGGTCGGGGACCAACCTATTTTCCAAAGCACAGAAGGCAAGACAAGAAACAATGGATGGAAACTAATCAAGCACAGAAGCAACTTAGTATTAAGGAGAAATTTCCTAACAGTGAAAACACTTACTGTATTTTTTGGAGTATAAGATGCACCAGTGTATAAGATGCACCAAGGTTTTGAAGAGGTAAATTAAAAAAAAAGTTTTTGCACTCTGCAGACCTCCCAAAAATGGCCTGTTTTTCATGGCCATTTTGGTAAAGGGAGTGGGGTTTCGGGAGGCAAAAAATGCTGTATTCATGTATAAGACGCACCCAGATTTTCAGCCTCTTTTTTGAGGGAAAAAGGTTATACTCTGAAAAATACGATAACCAGTGAAATGCCTGGTGATGGCATGCATGCCCACAAAGAGGGCTCTATGTGCCAACTCTGACACGTGTGCCATAGTTTCACCATCATGGGTATAGGGTCTCTGCTCAAATGGGGGTTGGACTAGAAGACCTTCAAGGTCCCTTGACCCTTACACCCTGTTATTCTAAGTTCCAAGATGAGATCAGGAGTCTTAAAATGAGAAGGGAACTGCCTCCTCTACCCACATTTCTATTAATGAGAAGATTCTGAGAATTCTCAGGTGTTCTTGCTAACACAATTAAATCCTAGATCCAACCCCAGACAACACAGGTATACAGTACATGTTCTAATCTTCACTGCTCAAAATTGTGAGCAGAAGAAAGCTATAAGCTAAATATGATTAAAATTAAATGCAAGTAAAATAGTCATTGCTTTGCTTATTTCATAAGTTTGTTCACAGACCCTGGACTAATGTCTCACCATTAGATTGGAAATTGTACCATTTTTTAAAATTTTATTTTCACAGCATGGCTGCTAAAAAATTTTTTTTTAACCATTGTATTGTTTTCATCTTTCTTTGATGCCCAGAGCTTTATATAAATGGCACTTATAAAGATGAAAATAAATATTTTCTTCCTTTAGTCACATTCAGAGCTACAATTTAGAGGTCTCTAGAGGTCATGCCTAATACCTACAGGGACTTAGGGGCCTCAGCTCAGGTAGGTCATAGGTAGGTCAGATAGGCTACCATTCTATCATTCATCTTAGCAGAAATATCCACTGCACTTAACTGATACCTTTAAAGAAAAATACTGTACCTCCTGCTTCTCTGCAAATGACTATTGTTGATGGTTAAGTGAATTGGGACCTGAATTGTTTTATTAAGTACTTATTTTGTGTTTTATTTTGTCCACCTTTTGGTAGATAAATGGCTATATAGGTTTGCTTAATAATGAAATGAAATCTCATGTCAAGAGTCTAGCATGACTGCAGAGTTATTCTGATGACAGATTTAACAGATTAACAGAGTTGGAAGGGACCTTGTAGGTCATCTAGTCCAACCTCTCACCCAAGCAGGGGACCCTACACCGTTTCTGACAAATGGCAGTCCAGTCTCTTCTTGAAAGCTTCCAGTGATGAAGCTTCCACAACTTCTGAAGGTAAGATGTTCCATTGGTTGATTGTTCTCCCTGTCAGAACATTTCTCCTTATTTCTAGGATGACCACCAAATCCTTGCAGATATAGACGACATTTACAATGTAAGGTAAATCAAAACTTTTCAAAATAATCTCCAGGTTAACATGCCATATGATCCAAATCCATGGACCAGTTTATTTGTATCCTATAATATTAGAGTACTGAAGGAAGTTACGGATGGTCTGCATAACACGTGGTGTCAATCTGCCTTCAGCTCCTAAATAAAGGGCAGGAGTGGTTATCAGGAACAGAAGCAGAGGTAGTATTCAGCCGGTTCTGACTGGTTCTGGAAAACTGGCAGCAGAAACTTTGAGTAGTTCGGAGAACCCGCAAATACCACTTCTGGCTGGCCCTCCCCCATCTATTTGCTGCCTCTCAAGTCATCTTTTGTTGCCCTTGGACAAGAGAATGGAGCTGGAAAGCAGGTTAGTGGGGTGGGGAGGGAATGGGGATTTTGCAGTAACCTTCCCCTGCCTCGCCCACCAAGCCACAGTCACAGAACCAATAGTAAAAAATTTTGAATCCCACCACTGAACAGAAGCTTATATTCCAATGTAATAGAGAAGATGGAGAGAAGTTTCAAATGTATTACAAGGTTCCATGTCTTTACTTCCATGGCACGACAAAACCGCAGTCCACTAAAGCACGTCCGATTAAAGCGTGTCGCTGACGTCATCAGCAGCGCGACAACAACGACCGCGGAGAAAAAAGGGCGCTTTAAAAAGCGCTTTTAAAGCAAGCCAATTCACGTAAAGGTAAGGGTTAGGTTTAGGGTTAGGGTTAGGTTAAGGGTTAGGGTTAGGTTTAGGGTTACGTTAAGCGTTAGAGTTAGGATTAGGGTTAGGTTAAGGGTTAGCGTTAGGTTTAGCGTTAGGTTAAGGGTTAGGTTTAGGGTTAGGTTTAGGGTTAGGTTAAGGGTTAGGTTTAGGGTTAGGTTTTGGGGGGTTAGGTTTAGGTTTACGCGTTAATTTTAGCTTTACCGCTCACAGCGTGCTTTTTTTGTCGCACTGTGATGACGTCAGGTATGCGGCTTCGTCGAGCGCGCTTTAGTCGACCGCGGTTTTGTGCTGGAACCCTTTACTTCTGTCTCTCATTTTTTCCATTACCACTATCTGTGTGAAGGAACGCACACACAAACACACACACACTTCAAATCTGGGAAGGAAAATGACACCAATGAATCCTCATTAGAAGTCACTGCAAATGAATGAACAGATTTTTTCATTTTACTTTCTAAAACATAGCCATCCGGGAATACAGTCAGTCCCGGCAAGATGAACTCCTAATTAGGATTCAAAGTATGTTTGGCTTCTTATCTCTATGAACATAACAGCCTGGAGGTTCGAGTCTAGACTTTTTTCCCCCTCCTCAGTTCCTCATACATATCTACCATGTGAGAATTTGGTGGTAGGAAGCAGGGATGGGATGGAATACAATTTTGAATCTCAACGAGGAAAAACAAACACAACAAAACCCAGAACTGCATGTATTCCGTAGGCACTCAGCAGGGAATGTTTGATTCCTATAACAATGATAGCTGTCAGAAACAAGGAGGCAAAGAAGTTTTAAAAGGAAAGGAAGGAGCATCTTCAGAGAGTACAGGCTAAGCCCACAGAAAACAAACCCTTCATTTCCACACTGCTCTAGAGGGAAAGGTCAAAATCCATGTGGGCAATGTCAAGCTTACCTTTGGAAAATAATTTCTCTTTTACAACATTTTGATTAGGCTCACTGAACACCGGATTTGCCTCACTGAGGAAAATTGAAATTTGAAAGGCAAAGCTTGACTAGCACCAAGTTGTCATAACCATAAATCAGTCAAGTCAATACAAAGGGAAACAATGGGTTGTCATCTGAAGGCTCGGGGTGGGGGTGGGGGGGAGGACAACCTTGAATGCCTAATTCAACGGAATGCCTTGCAAAGAGGAGGGAAGAGAGCAACCAAACCAGTGGTGGGTTTCAAAAATTTTTTGAACCTACTCTGTGGGTGTGGCCTCCTTTGTGGGAGTGGCTTGTCGGCCCTGTTGCC